TTTGTATAGTAGTAGGCTCTTCAGTAGTAGTCTGAGCAAGAGTTGTTTCTTGTGGTGTTGTAATTTGTATAGTTGTAGGCTGTGTAGATGTCATTTCCGTTGTTGCCATTGTTGTTGTAGTTTGTATTGTTGTAACTTCTTTGGTTGTGGTTTGTGGGAGTGTTGTTACAGCTGGTGTTGTAGGCTTCATTGTTGTTATGATGGTAGTTGTGATTTCTTGAGTTGTAGTTGGAAGAGGAGTTGTTAAAGGAGTTGTCGTTTTCAGTGTTGTAGGGTAGTGAGTTGTTATGATGGGTTGTGTAGTAACCTGGGAAGTTGTCAGTTGCTTGGTAGTTGGGTTGGGAGTTGTGACAACGGCTCCTATCGTGGTTGTTCGAACTGTGGTAATTTTTGTTGTTGGTATTACAGTTGTTAGGCATACTAATTCATCTTGCTTCATAGAAATTATTTGGGTTCCATTATGATGAGCAGGTGACACGCAAAGTACGTTATCAGCATCTTTGACTTTTGCTTGATAATTTTTAATCCAGTCATAAAAACTTTCCATATCACAATCACAAACCCAAGGATTACCACTAAAGTACACACCAGTCAGTTTGGGAATTGAGTCTATAGAAGGCACTGGAAAGTTGGTGAACTGGTTTTCATTAAGTCTCAGTGTCTTTAACTGTGGAAGGAGAGAGAACACATCATCTTGTAAGCTACTAAGTAAATTGTTTTGTAAATTAAGCTCTGTTAACTTGTCCAGACCTTTAAACATTTCCTTTGTTAAAGCATTTATTCGATTGGAAGAAATAATTAACTTTTTTTAAAGATTTAAAGTTACTAAATGCTTCATGTGGAATAGTTGTCAACCTGTTTTGGCCCAGATCAAGTTCTAATATGGGCATGCCATCAGTTATTTGATGTGGAAGCTTCTGAAGTTTATTTGAGTTGATTCTAAGCTGCTTAATCTTGTTAAGACCAAAAAATGTATTATCTGGAAGCTCCTCTATAAGGTTACCCTCCAAAAAAAGTTTTTCAAGATTTTTTGATTTGGCCAGATAGTTTGGGGGCCATTGTTCTATCTTGTTCCTTGAGACACTGAATTCAATCAGTTTATGGTTACTGTCCACCAAACCTTGTGGAAGATCAGTGAGATCATTTTCATAGAGCCGGAGATATTTTAGTTTGGTCAGTTTAGAAAATATGTCTTCAGGTAATGTTGTCAAATTATTTTTTGCAAGATGTAACATTGTAAGGTTAACAAGATTGTTGAACGGATCTTGAGGCAATGCCACCAGTTCATTCACATTTAAATATAGTTCTTCTAAATTGTACAGGCTGTCAAAGATACCTTGTTCAATCATATTAATCTTATTATTTTTCAATATGAGCTTTTTCAGACCCCCAAGGTTTTTAAATACTCCACTCGTTAGCTGCTTCAAATCAGCATTTCCTGATATCTCTAGTTCAGTGAGATTGGACAAATTGTCAAAAGCACCAACCTCAACTGATGTAATTTTGTTGTTAATGAATGCTATTTTTTGCAGTTGACTCATGTATTTGAAAGCATCTTTTCTTATTGTTGATATTTCAGTTTGCACAAAGAATATCTCTGTGGTTTTTGGTCTTATGGATTTAGGGATCTCAGTAAGGGGGCTCGCGAAGACTTCTTGGTAATCTTTGGGGCAGTCATAGTCGTTTTCACATACTTTGACAGGACTAGGTTCAGCAGCCTCAAATAAAATCAAAAGAATGAGTAAGGACTTCATTCTGTTTCTGTTAATACAAAAAATAAAGATGTATTTATTAGACAAATTATTCTGATGCTTATAGATACCTGATAACCAAAAAGAGATAAACATAATCTATTGGGAAATAAGATAAAGTAGGCAAATGTTTCTATTATGCACTTGTAATTTCTAGCAACATTTGTTATCCACAATTAGTGGTGAGGAAATATCAAACAGTTTATACAACTATATTAAAATGGATTAAGATGAGTCACCAGTCACTGATTTAACCACTTGTCGACCGCCAACAGTAAATTTACTGCTATAAATAAATAAATAAATAATTGCAGCGCTGGGGATGTCGCTGCTTACAGTCAGCTTCCCCAAGCACCGCAACGTACCCGTATGTCATGGTGACCTTCCTGGTTTAGAGGCAGCCGCGCTCTCTGCTGCTCTGTGCTGTGATTGAACACAGCACAAGTTTGTCAGCAGGTATACAGCCAATGATTTTGGCTGTATTCCTAATGACCTGTGTGCCCAATCACAGCACAGAGATCTGTGTGTTTTTAAAGGCTATACTCAGAATCTAAATTGCTTCCTCCTGCTCTCAGATATCATTCAAAACTGAGAACAAGGAGAGACCAAGCCATGTGAGTAAAAGCACAGGGATGTTCGATTCCTATCGCCCGATGCCTGGGACATGTAGTTCCGGGTGGAGGGGGCAGGTAGTGTTTTTCTACCTTTAGCCCTGCAGTGGGTAAACAGTGGGATCACCTGTCAGGTGGAAGCATTGCTGCCTGATTGCTTCCACACAGTGCTACCTCTCTCTCCCCCCCTTGAGGTCTCCCAGGCTCTGCTTGCCCATCTGCAGGCCCGGGACCGGCAAACCGCCATCGACTAGAGGGAGAGAGGAGTGCGGACATGTCCCCTCCCCTTCTTGTCCTGACCGGGAAGTGACGTTATGATGTCACCTCTGGGTCCCTGTTGAGAGATTCCTGGCCATGGAAGCCGGGAAAGAATGTAATACAGAGCGATGTGCACTGCATTACATTCAGTGGAGCACAGGGGAGACATGCAGGGTCTTTTAGACCCTGGATGCCTCAATAAAGAGAACCTGTCACCAAAAAAAAAGGAAAACAAACAAAAAGTTTTTTTTAATTGTAAAAAAATGAAAGTTACACCCAAGCACATACCATCTCTCCCTAAAAAAATTGAGGTCCCTCACCCCCACATATATGCACGTACAAACGTAAAAGTACACACTGGGGTGCATACACATGAAAACATTGATTGCCATACACATGTCACATATCGCTGCGTACGCCAGAATGAGAGCAATAATTCTAGCACCAGACCCCTCCGTAATGCTAAACTGATGACCTATAAGGAGCTTTAAATGTGTCAGCCTATAGAAAATATAGAGTACTGAAGTTTGTAGCCATTTCACAAGCGCACACAAATTTCAGGTTTGACAAGTTGGATATCTATTTACTCAGTGCAACCTCAACTTTTATATTTTACAAATAAAATAGAGTAGTTTAATGCTTTTTTGTGCCCTAACTTATTTGTATTTTTTACCTAAATTTTGCGGTAATATCATGCCACATAAAAAAATGTTAGAGGGTTTTAGGTAATCTTCAGGCCTAAAATAAATTTTTAAACTTGTGCAAAAAACACTAAAATCGCTCTGGCAGCGAATGGGATAAAGGATAAGCCCTGACCCACCCTTTCCTGAGGAGCAGCCAATCAGTGCTCATTACACTGCAAGGTTTCTCCCCACCCTGCTAGTCCCTGTGTGCAGTGCTGGAGAGAGGCAGAGAGGGGAGGAGGAGATAAACAACGCAAAGTTAAAAATATTAAACATTTAAGTCGCCATAAAGCCCCTTTTGTTTTTAAAAGCACCAGACATTCTTAATATCACCTCCAATTTAAATACAGTTTTGGGTAAAATTTATTTATTTTTTTGTTTATCTGGACAAGTAGATTGTCATGAGGTATTTTTTTGTTTATCTGGACAAGTAGATTGTCATGAGGTACAAGTAGATTGGGGCACCGATTTAGTCCATGGACAAGTAATTTTTTCATAATTTCCACACCCCTGAAAACAGCACACATACACTTTGTTAGGCACAGAACTAACCCTTTGATTGCCCTCCTGATCATCCCTGTCATCTAGCCTGTGTTATTAGCACAGTGTACATTATTATCACTGATCACCGTATCACTAGTGACATTAGATAGTGTCAGAGTCAGTCAGTGTCCCTCCCTGCCAGTGTCAGTTACCGCCAGTCACCGACTGCCCACCACACTATCACAGGCACACAATAACCACCATTACTAGTATAGTGTCTGAATATATACTAGTGTTCCCAATTGTATAATGTCCCCAAAAATGCAGTGTCAGCAGGATCAACCTACTAGTAAGGAGTTATACCAGATTCTGAACATGACAGATGAGAGTGAAGGGGAGGCCTCACTGTCAAAATCTAGAAAACACAATTATGCTCAGACGCAGCAGGGCAAAAGTACTATTTGGTGATCTGGCAAGCACCAGCAGCGTAGTATATCCTTTCCATTCAGGCACCAGCACTGCAGTATTTCATTGTGAAGTGGCGAGCACCAGCAGTGCAGTACAAACCAGATTACATGGCTCACGCTAGTGGCATATTGCAACCGCAGCCAGCAAGAATTTGAGTACAGGACCAGAGAGCCCATAGTAGCCTTCCAGAGGTGCTTACAAACCCTAACTGGCTGCCCACTAGATTCAGCAGCACCCGTTATCCCCCCAATCACAGCCCAGTCCAGGTTTTCATTTGGAAACAGACAATTTACCAATGCCCCTGACTTTTTAAAGCTGTTTATCACTGAAGACCTGTATAATTTGATTGTGGACCAAAGTAATGTTTATGGCCAACAGTACATCACCACCAACAAAAATTCATACCTTGTCAGGCCATTTGAGTGAAAACCTATCATGGTTTCTGAATTTAAAACTTATTTGGGCCTAACCCTTAACAGAAATATTACGAAAAAGAAAGAAATGCGGTCATATTGGCCCACAGACCCAATTTATCAAATGCTCGTGTTCTCTTCTGCAACGGCCAGGAAAAGATACGAGATAATAATGTGTTTATGCATTTTGGTGACAATAACTAGAGATGAGCGAAGTATTCAAAAATTCGATTCGACTGATTCGGCGAATTCGTGGAAAAATTTTGATTCGAGTTGAATATATTCGCTGCGAATTTAACTTATAAAAGGGTGTTTCTAGGCTTCAGAGAGCCTTTATATTAGTGCAGAACACTGTACCTTTAATTTAAATGCCCTTGGAGTCTGCTGGGGAAGAGAAATAATACTGTCAGTCAGTATGACATGCAGATGAGTGCCGTCGATCTTAGAATCACCGCACAATTCACTCATTTGGGCAGTCACGGGGCCAAAACCAGAGTGTGGAGCCACAGTGTGGCGGTGGAGGCAGCAGCAATGGGAGGCCATACAGCACCCTATGACAAAAATGGAAACCACCAGCAGTGTGAGGAGACCTGAAAGTGGCACATGGCAGAGTGTGGCGATGGAGACAGCAGCAATGGGAGGCCGTACAGGGACCCATGACACACTCTGGACCTGGCAGCAGCATGAGGAGGCGGTACAGGGGCCCATGACAGATTACGGGCCTGGCAGCAGCATGAGGAGTCGGTACGGGGGCCCATGGCAGATTAGGGGCCTGGCAGCAGCTATGGGAGGCCTGTAATCTGCCAGCACCCTATGACAAAAAATGGAACACACCAGCAGTGTGAGGAGACCTGAAAGTGGCACATGGCAGAGTGTGGCGATGGAGACAGCAGCAATGGGAGGCCGTATAGGGACCCATGAGAGACTCTGGACCTGGCAGCAGCATGAGGAGGCGGTATAGGGGCCCATGGCAGATTAGGGGCCTGGCAGCAGCTATGGGAGGCCCGTAATCTGCCAGCACCCTATGACAAAAAATGGAACACACCAGCAGTGTGAGGAGACCTGAAAGTGGCACATGGCAGAGTGTGGCGATGGAGACAGCAGCAATGGAAGGCCGTACAGGGACCCATGAGAGACTCTGGACCTGGCAGCAGCATGAGGAGGCGGTATAGGGGCCCATGGCAGATTAGGGGCCTGGCAGCAGCTATGGGAGGTCCGTAATCTGCCAGCACCCTATGACAAAAAATGGAACACACCAGCAGTGTGAGGAGACCTGAAAGTGGCACATGTTTGGGGCATGATTCATGGCGGATTTAGTCAGTTGTGTCAGGAACTGGTGGTTTGAAATCCAGACTAATCCACGCCTGATTCATTTTCACAAACGTGAGTCTCTCCACACTTTGGGTGGATAGTCGTGTCCTCCGCGGAGTTACAATACCTCCTGCCGCACTAAACACGCGCTCCGATGCCACGCTACTGGCCGGGCATGACAGCCTTTCAAGGGCAAATTCAGCTAGTTGGGGCCAAAGGTCAAGTTTCGTTGCCCAGTAGTCAAGGGGATTGTCTACCTCGGTTGGCAGGGTACTGTCAAAGTAGGCCTAAGCCTGTTGTTTGAGGTCCTGCTCCAGGTCCACCTGATGCTGCTGCTGCTGCTGCTGCTGCGGCTGGTTAGCAGTTTCCTCACTGCGCTGGTGAAGAAAGCTACTCATCATCGACTGCAGACTGAGGCAGCTGCTGCTGGTGGAGCTGCCACTGCTCCTACCACCCCACCCCTCCCCTGCTGCCATGGCAGCGGAACGCGAGCGCACAGGACCCACAGTGTCTGAGGATGGACGTTGGCGCAGAAAGGCAGAGACCAGCTGACTACATAGGTGGTTTTTATAGTACGTTATTTTGGCCTCCCTCTCAGCAGGTGTGAAAAAGGCCACCATTTTTGAACGGTAGTGAGGGTCCAAGAAGGTGGACAGCCAAAAGTCATCCCTCTGTCTGATGGTTATTATTCGGCTGTCGGTACGCAAGCAAGCGAGCATGCTATGGGCCATTTGTGCCAAGGAATGCGAGGGACTCCCTGCCTCCATCTCCACAGCATACTGCCACGGTGCGTCTGGGTCCTCTGTCTCCTCTTCCTCCTCCTCTACCAGATGCTCCTGCTCCTCCACTTCTGTCCGCTGAGTGGAAAAACCACCCATTTCACTCAATAATTCCTGAGCACCAATGTCCTCCTCTACCTCCTCCTCTTCTTCCTGTCCTGCCCCCACAGGGGTCATGTGGCGTTGAGATCTGTGCGCCACGTCTACCGCACCCTGACCAGCCATTGTTAACAGCATTTGTTCCAGGACGTGCAACAGAGGAATGACGTCGTTCATCCCATAGTCCTGCCGACTCACGAATAGCGTGGCCTCCTCAAAGGGCCTGAGCAAGCGCAGGTGTCACGCATGAGCTGCCAATGACTGACATCTAAGTTACACAGGGAGTACCTTTATCCGCTTTTAACATCAGGAAATCTGTGATGGCCTTTCGCTGTTCGTAAAGGCGGTCTAACATATGTAGGGTTGAATTCCACCTTGTTGCAACGTCACAGCATGAGGAGTCGGTACGGGGGCCCATGGCAGATTACGGGCCTGGCAGCAGCAATGGGAGGCCCGTAATCTGCCAGCACCCTATGACAAAAAATGTAACACACCAGCAGTGTGAGGAGATCTGAAAGTGGCACATGGCAGAGTGTGGCGATGGAGACAGCAGCAATGGGAGGCCGTACAGGGACCCATGAGAGACTCTGGACCTGGTAGCAGCATGAGGAGGCGGTATAGGGGCCCATGGCAGATTAGGGCCTGGCAGCAGCTATGGGAGGCCCGTAATCTGCCAGCACCCTATGTCAAAAAATTCAACACACCAACAGTGTGAGGAGACCTGAAAGTGGCACATGGCATGAGACACTGTGGACCTGGCAGCAGCATGAGGAGGCGGTACAGGGGCCCATGGCAGATTAGGGGCCTGGCAGCAGCTATGGGAGGCCCGTAATCTGCCAGCACCCTATGACAAAAAATGGAACACACCAGCAGTGTGAGGAGACCTGAAAGTGGCACATGGAAGAGTGTGGCGATGGAGACAGCAGCAATGGGAGGCCGTACAGGGACCCATGAGAGACTTTGGACCTGGCAGCAGCATGAGGAGGCGGTATAGGGCCCCATGGCAGATTAGGGGCCTGGCAGCAGCTATGGGAGGCCCGTAATCTGCCAGCACCCTATGTCAAAAAATTGAACACACCAGCAGTGTGAGGAGACCTGAAAGTGGCACATGGCAGAGTGTGGCGATGGAGACAGCACAATGGGAGGCGGTACAGGGACCCATGACAGACTCTGGACTTGGCAGCAGCATGAGGAGGCGGTATAGGGGCCCATGGCAGATTAGGGGCCTGGCAGCAGCTATGGGAGGCCCGTAATCTGCCAGCACCCTATGTCAAAAAATTGAACACACCAGCAGTGTGAGGAGACCTGAAAGTGGCACATGGCGATGAGACAGCACAATGTGGACCTGGACCCAGCAGCTGGATGGAGGAGGAGGCGGTACAGGGGCCCATGGCAGATTAGGGGCCTGGCAGCAGCTATGGGAGGCCCGTAATCTGCCAGCACCCTATGACAAAAAATGGAACACACCAGCAGTGTGAGGAGATCTGAAAGTGGCACATGGAAGAGAGACTGGCAGAGCTGGCAGCAGCATGAGGGAGCGTACAGGGGCCCATGGCAGATTAGGGGCCTGGCAGCAGCATGGGAGAGACCGTAATCTGCCAGCACCCTATGACAAAAAATGCCCAACATTAGGGCCTGGCAGCAGTGTGAGGAATCTGAAAGTGGCAGAAAGTTGGCACATGGAAGAGTGTGGCGATAGAGACAGCAGCAATGGGAGGCCGTACAGGGACCCCATGAGAAGACTTGGACCTGGCAGCAGCATGAGGAGGCGGTATAGGGGCCCATGGCAGATTAGGGGCCTGGCAGCAGCTATAGGAGGCCCGTAATCTGCCAGCACCCTATGACAAAAAATGGAACACACCAGCAGTGTGAGGAGACCTGAAAGTGGCACATGGCAGAAAGTGTGGCGATTGGAGACAGCAGCAATGGAGGCCGTACAGGGGACCCCCATGAGAGACTCTGGGACCTGGCAGCAGCATGAGGAGGCCCGTATAGGGGCCCTTGGCAAAATTAGGGGCCTGGCAGCAGCTATGGGAGGAGGCCGTAATCTGCCAGGCACCCTATTGTCACAAAAATGGAGGACGCACCAGCATTGTGAGGAGACCTGAGAGTGGCACATGGCATGAGACACTGTGGACCTGGCAGCAGCATGAGGAGTCGGTACAGGGGCCATATGGCAGATTAGGGGCCTGGCAGCAGCTATGGGAGGGCCCGTAATCTGCCCGCACCCTA